AGCCATTTGTTTGTCGTGCTCGATTATATGGTAATGCTCTCCGAAGTTTTGGGGTTCTAATCGGACCTGGGGGACATGGCCCCGATTCTTCCGAGGGCATGTGTATTACCCAGACCCCGACTCAAGGGGCTCCTAGCCCAAACTCTGGTTCCTTACAGTCACATCCTTGCAGGGTTGCGTCCGGACCCATTACTCCTTCGATCTCTATTGTATGGTTGATACCGATCTCTGTTCGATCTTAGTTCATGATCGACGACTCTTTTGGATCTGTCACTAGTCCTGACGGGATAAACGGATCCAGGGCCCCCGAGCTAATCGTCTTCGACCCTGATTTTTTATTGGCACCTGTTATGGATATCCGGTCAAGTTACCGCCAGGTATTCTATCAAATTTTGCTTCAACTGCTGCGAAGCCAATGAGCTTTGGGAGTTGAGTCCTTGGGTAAATACCTGAATGGCCCAATCGTCCGCGATCGGGAGAAGATCCATCTGTTCTATTTGAAACCTCGACACGAATTCCTTGAGCATCTCGTCATCTCTTTGCTTCACCTTGAAAATGTCTGACTTCCTGGTCTCGACCTTGATGGCCCCGGCGTGCGCTTTTACAAAGGCATTTTTTCAGCAGAACGGATTCGATTTCATCATCTTCCAAGTCATTCCCCTTGATGGCGCACGTGTAGGAGGTCACATGTTCGTTTGGATTAGTCGTTCCATTATATTTCAGAATTTTGGATGTACAGAACTTCTTCGGGATCGTCTTCGGAGCTGCGCTCGGAGGGAAATACTTTTTGACAAACTTCTTGGAATTCAAGCCTTTCAATATCGGAGGTGCTCCTGAGATTTGATCGACCCTGGAGTTATAGGTCTCTACTTTTTTGCCGTTGGCTTCGATTTTCTTTTTTCCCAATTCCACCCGTTTTGTCAGTTCCTCGAGCATCTTTATTATCTCGAGGTTGGTCCCGGGTTCAGCCTCACTCGACCTTTCTGTGACTGGTTCATTTCTGCGAGTGTTTTCCCGGGATGGTTAGGGCTCAACTCTGCTGGGGGCGTGGCTCTGGTTGTGCAACTGGGCTATTGCTGCCTGTTGATCCTGTAACATTTCGAAGATCAATCGCAAGTTGATCCTATCGCATTCGTCGTCGTGTGTACTCCAGGTTATCGATCGGGTTCCCCCGCGAATGTTGTTTTTGGGGTCGGTTGGCAAGTTTGATTCAGTAGCCATATATAAGTTAGCATCAATCGGGTTCGCGGCTGGAACTCTGTTGGGGTCAACATGGGGCACCTCGTTGCTGGGCACCACATTGTTGTTCTCGCCATGGTGGCCGTATTCAACATCAACATTCAAATGTGCATATTGGGAATTTGACATTTTTAATTTGACCTGAAATTAGGAGCTCAAAGAACAAGTGTAAAATAGAGTGTGTTATGAAAATTTGTATCAAATTGTCACTATTATTCTTAGCCCCACGGTGGGCGCCAAACTGCTTATTCTAAAAAACGGATAACAATTAAATTTATATGTGATTTTAAGGATACGCGAATTAATTCAATACAAATGATAAATTGCGTTAGATTAAACAGATAAAGGACGTAATAAATTATCAAACCAATTAAGGGGAGTTATCCCGGACTCAGTAACAACTTTAATGAAATGTCTGTCTTCGATCCCGGGCTCACGATAATGAAGAACAATTAAGGGGAGTGATCCCGGACTCAGTAACAACTTTAATGAAATGCTTGCCTTCGATCCCGGGCTCACGATAATGAAGAACTGATGAACAAAAGTAAGAACTTTGTATATCAGAGAAAATAAGAGTATATTGCCTTGATATGTGTGTTACAATGGTGCCTAATGAATAGTTAGACTTCTCTTTATATAGTAGAGGAGTTTTACCTAAGTACAATTCCAAAAGAGGTAAAAATCTTCCGTTTTACTAATCACTGATTTTCTGCCGATACGTGCCGAGATTCACGCTGTAACATCCGACAAGGCACGGATATTACGGCCCTTTATTTGTCGTGCTCGATTATCTGGTAATGCTCTCCGAAGTTTTGGAGTTCGAATCGGACCTGGGGGACGTAGCCCCGATTCTTCTAAGGGCAGGTGTATTGCCCGGACCCCGACTCGAGATGCTTCTTGTCCAGACTCCAATTCCTTACAGTCACATCTCTGCTCTGTTTATTTCATCGGGAACCGACGGGAACCGAGACTCCCAAAGGGCTCGGTTTCACCCGTATAGATATCATTCACCACAATATGAGATGGACCATGATTCAAATAGCTAGCCAACTGCCTATAATCAATTTGATATTGCATCAACTCTTCCGTTAGATATAGGGAGCAGGAAAAAATATATATATTTTACTGTATCATTGGTCGTATAATCATGAAAAGTCGTGCTCCACTTTAGGTGGGTTTCTTGATAAAAAGGTTGGAGAATCTCTGATGCCGTATTGCTATGTATTCGATTTGGATCACCACTTCGAAAAAGAATTGTCAGCATTTGGTTAAACCCACGGTTTTCTTGTAAAGGCCTACACCATTAATAGCCTGTTTGGTCCAAAAGTTTTTTCCGTGAGAAATAATTTTGATGAAAAACAGTTTGTGTTTGGTTAATTAATTTGAAAAATATTTCTGAACAACAATTAGTGTTTATCCAAACTTTTAAAAAGTGCTTCTACATGTATTTTTTTCAAAAATATTTTTTTAAAAAAATGTTTTTGGGTCAAAGCTACTTCTACTCAAAAATATTTTTTTTTCTTCTAAAAGTTTGGTCAGATATTTCAACTTTGAAAAAAAAAATACTTTTTTTGAAGAAAAAAAAAATATTTTTGAGTTTGAAGAAGCTTGGTCAAACAGACTATAAAAGTATCTAACTCCTAAGAAATAGATTTTTTTTTCCTACTTTTCATGTTAGACTTTGTTAATACGTCCAAGAGCATGATTGGGCACATGTAAATTTTTAGGAATTGCTAAAATAAGTTTTATATTGCCAAGTTATTTAAAAAGATAATTACATTTAGCTGACTATTAGTATAAACTATGAAGGGATTAGTAACTTTTATGTGAATATTTATTAATTTTAAAATTTTCATGTTACCTAAATAATGTGTTTTTATAATTATAGAAATGTCATGACATATATACTACAAATTCTAAGAGTAGTTTTAATATTTGCCAAATTCTATATATATTATATATATAATTGACATTAACTAATTTAGATTAACCCATAGTTATTATGAGAGAAACTTCAATTTATAATGCATTGCCCAAATAGAAAATGAAAAAAATGCACTATCAAAAACAAAATGATGGCGTTGTGTATTTGTGTTCATGAGCAAAGCTATAGCTGTTATGAGTTGGTGTGGGTAATAAGTGAAGGAAATTTATGAACCCATAAACATGGCTACTTCCATGTGCAACCAAAGAGCAACATTATCATCTATTCTTTAGTTTAACCGCGTAAGGTAGAGATGATTATTTTCTATAATTCTAATCATTTCTGTTGGTCTTCAAAAATCATTACTTCCCTCGCTTGTTCCAGTTGCTTTATTAGATCGGTTTCCTAGCTAGTACTTTTCTGCTTTTATGTTACTCCAATTGGCAATTCTTAACTGTAAATTGCCCCTTTTCTTTTTCTATTTTTCTTGAGGAGGGAGGAGGGCTTGGGGGTGGGTGAAAATGCGTGAAAGTAGTGAGGGCAAACTCTCGCCGATCATTTGGTACGATGAATAAGCAAAAATAATCTTAGAATAAAAATTTAGTATTGCCTTATTGCTTGTTTAGTTACTAATTTTGGAATAAGTTATCTTAAGATTATAAATAGTACCGGATAACTTATACCCATCAGAGGGTGGAATAGTAATCTGAGGATAAGTTATCCCAGGATAAAGTAATAAAATTGATAATCCCAGAATTAATACAACATATCAAACAATTAATAAGAAATAATATCAGGATAACTAATCTCAGCATAACTAATTTCAGTATAACTTATCTTCAAACCAAATGACTCCTTATAGAGTAGTGTAGATCGAGATCCAAGCACACTCGGCACTCGAATTATATAATTAGTTGTAATTATGGCCAATATTTTGGCTAATGGAGTCCATCTCATATAAGCATAAGCATCTTTGCAAAGTGTAGACTTTATTGGCAATATTCTTTGGGACCCAAAAATATTGCATTATGTGGTGGACATCATTTGCACAAGTTGTATCTCTTCTTTTACACCTAAGAGGCCAAGACTTTTTTGCCTATAAAAGGGAAGGCAATTAGTTCATTTTAGACACACCAACAAGACTTGAGTCTTCATTTGTTGTTTCTTCCTTTCTTCCTTTATTAAGAGTATTTTGTATGAGAGTTAGTGTTGGGAAGCACTTGTGTGAACCCTTTCTTTGGAGTGATCTTGTGAGGTTATTCTCTTAGGGTATTTGGGATTAATTAGAGTGTTTACTCTAATTTTGTACTCTCTTTTGTACTCTTATTGTTATAGTAAATTGCTCCTCTCCGCTTGTGGACGTAGGTCACTTTGACCGAACCACATTAAATTTGTGTCTTCTTTATCTACTTTATTTATCGTTGTTATCAACTTCCATTGTCTTTGTTATTGCTATTATACCGTTGTTTGGCTATATTCCACAATACTCGGGTTCCCGATCCTAACATTAGTAAATAAGTAATTATACTGAGCTTGTATTATTATCACCAAAAAAGTACTGCTGAATGTAGTAATTAATATTTCGAATCTACCGACGAAATACCCTAGATTCTATCAGGAATGGTCATAGTAAAATGAAAGAGTGATAGCATAGGGATTCAATGAAGAGAATTACTATAAAAGATCACGATTCAACTTTCATTAGAGAAAAAAGAAAACTGGATTTGTAAGTTTTTTTCTTTTTTAAAAATGAAAAAAAAGAGGGTGATAAAAGAAAGTATCTTTTATTTTGTCGAAAACGAGCTGAATCAAAAATACCACCAAGACAACATGAAAGTAAGTGACCGAATAAAGATATCCAAATTACCAACATCATAACTTTGCAAAATTTTGGCAACCGTCAGAATTCCTGCGAATCACCACAAGAGCTTGCCTAAGAATTTATGACTATTTTCTCAAGACCTTCCTTATTGGGGTCAAAATTTAAATGGTAGCTAGCACCAAAGATCATATTTGTGTCATTCTCCATTTCTTTTTATCACCCCCTTCATGCAAAGCTAAAAGAAGCATTAGTGGATAAAAGTTCAACTCCTACTTTGCATCATATCGCGCGAGTTACGAAAATGATAACTGAAAACAGCTAGGAATTTCAACCTAAAAACTTCACCCTGATTTTAGCAACTAATACTAGTTCTCCATTACAGGCGTAATTAAACCCTAGAATCTCTTGATTTATGACAAAAGAAAAATCACTACTACTAAAATTACTGGAAGTTACAGATACTAGAACTATATATCATTATGATTAGGTGAAAATAATGTCTTCCAAATATCAGAGAAAGCCTCAACGATCACCCCATGATAATGCTTAGCATTTAGTGATAGAAAACACTGCAAAAGTTGCTCCAAATCATTCTTCTCAAACATTTGTTTCTCAAAAATCATTTCCATCATAGACCTTTTGAAATCCTCATATGGATCCTCTGATTTCTTTACGATAGCAAAACTCTCCTTCACTTTCCCGTCAACGCTACAAGGTATCAGCTTCTTGAACACAGATAACCTCGGAGGAAGCTCGTTATCCGATGATGTAGTCGAAACTGACAGCCTTCTACCTGTTGAGACATAATATAATTAACTAATTCAAAATGTGCTCCTCTTTTAAAAAGAATAATTAAAATTTTGTTGAGATTATCACATATTGAGACATGCTACCAAAATAAGGAGGTCTTGGTTCGTCACTACAAAAAGAATGGATTATTTGCACCATATGGCCATTTTTAAGCCATTCTTTAAATTTGGTCTACGTTAGTCTAGTGAGATAAATTTGACCTTTAATTAAAGAAGTTTGATCAATTTTTCTTCTATCATGCAAATTTAGCCAAATGGGCAAAATGTAAGACAGAATTTAACTAGTGGCATAAAAAAGGGCCATTTGTGTAAATGCACATTAAAATACACTTATAATATAGTAATAAGGTAAGCAACTAAAAGTGTTGTCTCTAGCATTTTAATCTCTTAAATAATATGATCACATAAATCAACATGGATTTAAGACATATATATATAGACTATCAGTAAGCCTTAACCTTCAATTTTACCAAATTATTGATTTGTGGATTGTAATTGGGTAAAGTTTGCTTAAACGTTATCTTATCTAGATCCCACGTGGTAGGAATATATTGAGTATGTTGTTGTATAAAACTTTAAAGTCATTAAGCATTACCCATGTTCATGCCCCTCGAAACGCTGCGTTTTGAATGCTTCACCGGCCTCCTCTTGCTGCTGCCAATCGTCCCTTTTTGACGCCTTGTCTTTGTAGTCTCGTATATGGTCTCCAATTGTTGGTTTAAATCCGAGGACGAGTCAGTCGAATACTCCAAACTTCTGCAAGATGATACTAATGTCTCAGTCTCCTCATCTTCTTCATCCCAAATTTCACTACTAAAATTCCCATCACTTTCATCAGCAGATGACGTGCTCATGCAAAATCTTGTTTTATTTTTCTTCTTTTGAGTTCGTCGTTTGTTCTTCTCTGTTATGGAATGAGAGGGTGGAGGTAAGGCTAAAACCTCACTGTCAGAATTGTCGGAGACAGAAGAGTAGGAAATTTTCCTATGAGGTTGTTCTGTGTCATCGTCGATCTTATTAACAACATGCAACTTCTCTTCTTTTTTCCACTTGAATTCTTGTGAACGTGACGACCTGCTAGAAAATTAAACATATATACAACAGATTGTAAGAAACTGTGGCACGAAACAGTTATTGTTTGTATAGTGTTTGAAGAACTCTATACCAAGTCAGCTTCAAATTCATTTTTTTGCGGACAGTCTCACAATAAATGCACCGGCTTCATTTCAATTTATGTGACATAATTTAATTAGACATGAAATTTAAATTAAAAATTTAAGTAATTCTAAACATGTATATTATTTGTGCGGCTATAAAACTTTTAAACTTTATAATCGACACAAAATTTGTGCAGCAAAGTATCTAACAAGACCTAGTCTGGCTGTCATCGGATGCATATGATTCTCCATTCCCCGAGCTACACCGGCAGCCGGCGGTTACCAGAGCCGATGACACGTGGCGTTTGAAGGAGGAACGATGAGGATGCTGATGGTGATGGGGTATTGAAGGTGGGGGTGGGGTGATTGGGAAATTATTGACGGTAAGTTGTGTGCTAAGGTTAAGGGATGATGATCGGAAGAAGGAATTAGGGACAGGATCTTGAGGAAGAATGGAAGGATCTTTGGAACGGCAAGAGGAATGGAAGGAGGAAACAGCTTTACATATTCTAAGCTTGAAACGTTTTTCCATTCTTTTTTTCTTGTGAAGTCTGTATGATATGGTGGAGGGGACTTTTGCCTTTGACAAACAGAAAATATGGAACTCATTGTTGCGACTATTAAATAGTGAACATTCTACAAGAGGGA